GGAGAGTGAGACTTTCCGTGGAGACAAGGGAGCAATGGTGTGGAGGTGACGACAAATAGAAGGCATAGTGAAAGGGAGCAGAAAGGAGGAGGCGAACAGGGTATGGTCAAGCACGCACCTCGATTTCATCGATGTTCCACCATAACTTTTCCGACCCCTCGACCCCGCTCTTGCCGTGCGGGGACAGCTCCTTCCCTTGGGTAACTCTGCTGGCCTCACTCGCGGTGAAAGAGGAGTTAGTGGTGGCGCAGGAAGAAGAGGGGGCGACAGAGCTTCCGTTCATAGCTCGTAGGGGGGACCGGCTGCTCTCTATGTCCATAGGGGAGGAGGGTAGTGGTGCTGGGGGGGCACTGCGTCAAGCCGGAAACGCCTTGAAGAGCTGATACCGAAGTGGAGGCTTCTCCAACGCACACAAGGGCTCCAAGATGTGTCTGTTTGGTGTGAGGCAGTGTGCGTGGGTGGCCTGCTAGTAGAAGACTGGGTGTGATAATGAAATGCACTAAAGCCGTTGAAGTCGGCGCGGACGAAAGCCAAAGATCACGTTTATCATGTGAATGTACCACAATCCCTTCCTATAACGTTCTATGCAAGCTGCAACCCGTGGGAGTGAGCCGGGGAAAAGCAACCCGGCTCAACCTCGCAAGTTTTGAGTCAAGTTCTGAGAAGGAGAGGGACGACCCATACCCGTACTCTCTCCCGTTGGCACGTCATTCTAACGAGCCCCGAGAGAGTTACAGCGTGAGATAGTGACTCCCGCTGCCCGTGGAAAGCATGAGTGCGAGATGTGGGAAGCGGTAGAGACAGTGAAAGGCGGAGAGTCCCGCACGATGCAGGGATTATTGCTGTTGCAAACGTGCTTCAATGAGTCGCTTGTTTTCTCGTGATGTTCCGCCTTCCCTCTTCAGGCAAGTCAAAACCACTTGTCACTCCCCTCCCGAAGCAAACACGATCGCACGACCACCCGGCACCTGCGAATCCTGCTGATGTCCTTGTCTTCGCGGCACGGACATGTTTCCAACGTGCCCATCCGCGCTCAGTTCTTGACACGTTGGTCATGAACACCCGTAAGCCGAAAATTTGCTGTGGGGCGTCAGGCCTAAGCGACGGTTCCCTGTGGAGCCCTTTTTTTTCCCGTCGTTTTTCAGAAAGTTGGAGGTTGTTTTTTTCAAATTCCTTTATTGTTTTTCAGCGCTGCAACTTTTGTTGGATAGCATGGCTGCCGACTAGTGATTTTTGTGATGAACATCTTTGTGTTGGTGTTTCTACCAGGTCGCCACTTATCCGAGTGGGAAAAGCGAGAGAAAGGCGGTCATCTCCTCAACACGAAAGTCAGGCTATTTCTGGACGTTCCCCAGATACTCTGGGAGTTATACATCCTTGCGCTGTAGGTGGTTAACCCGTGGAGTCAGTCAATGTCCCTAAGCGCCGATGAAATTGCATAAGGTGTACTTCCCGAGTGTGCGTAAAATCGACAATGTAGACAAGAGGGA